ACCCATATGATCAAAACATTTCCCCAGTCTTTGTCAGAAATGACCTCAACTTTATTACAACCCATTTATTAGTACCTGTCAGGACACCCATCAAACACCTGCTCTCAAATGGTTTCCCGCTTGTGCTCTGGATGAATAAATAGGTGGGACATTTTTTCAGAACAGGTTTGCACATTGTAGAAGCCCCCCTATGTTGACATAGCAAGATACAAAGAACGTCCTGCCTGGAAAGTAATGGTTTGCAGGTTTTATTTTCATTGGATGTCATTACATGAGGTAATGGCAGTAACTGTGTGTATTTAGCTGTCAGGTTATTCTATTTTGAAGTCCTCTTTTAATATCTTTATATTTCTACCACAGCATCTTTATTTAATCTAGAGGTTTAAAGAGATCTAAAGCCTTTAGAAAAGGTCACTAACACAATCATTACAGCCATATATTTATAAAGACAAGATCTTGCCAAATGAAACAAAAATGCAACCAATATTCCTTAAAAGTTAATTTTACCCCTTTCCACATTTGCTTTGCTTTTATCTTTTACATTTTAAATTATATAACATTAAAGACACTTGAAAGCATACTTAAAAGTAATTGTACTTCACATTTTTAGAGATATGGAGCTAGTACACAATCAAAGGTGCGTTTATAAAAGAAGTCTCATACTCACCAAGGCTGCTTTTTTGTATTTATATTGATGGCAAAGCTACTCCAGTACTCCATTCTTCAGTGTCACATTATCATTCAGAAATCATCATTTCTTCATACATATAAAGTAAGTGTGTGTGTGTGTGCGTGCGTGCGTGCGTGCGTGTGAGTGTGAGTGTGCGCGTGTGTGTTCTTGTTTATGCTACATTGTGGGGACCAAATGTCCCCACAAGGATAGTAAAACCTGAAGTTTTTGACATTGTGGGAACTGGCCTGCGGTCCCCACGAGGGGGAAAAATTATTAAAAATAGTAAATGATGTTAAGTTGAAAGTGTAACAATGCAAACAGGTTTTCTGCGAGGGTTAGGGTTGAGTTAGGGGATAGAAAATATTGTTTGGTCAGTATAAAAGTAATAGAAGTCTATGGAAAGTGCATGTGCGTGTGTGTGTGTGTGTGTGTGTGTGTGTGTTTGTGTGCGTGTGTGTGTGCGTGCGCGCGCGCGCGCGTGCGTGCGTGTAGCATTAACCTCATGTAACAGTTTAGCTTGCATCTGGAGTAGCATATTTCTGTTGCTTGTTTTCTAACACGTGGGTTAGAAAAAGCAAAATTGCAACTGGGAAACTGCAGAGAAATCTATTTGTTTTTTCACACAGTTCCCCAGCATGCACAGTTTACTCAATGAAAACAACCCTACATCAACTTTTCATTACCCCATTATTTACTGGATGATGCATGACAGATTAACCCAAGGAACCCTAAATATTCCAAAATATTAGCTCACACAGTGTGGCGTGTTGGTCTTTTCTGCATTCTTCTCCCCTCTGTTATCCAGAGCGTTCTATGCTATGATATCAATTACCATAGGAATCTAATATCACAGAAGACTGAGAGAGAGAGATGACCTCTTGACCTAACAACAACAGTGTATTGCTCCATATTGTTTATTTTATTGGGCCCAGGTTAAAGCCTTATGGAATGTGCTGAGATGCATTCATTGTCAGCAGGCCATGTGGGTGAAGATCAGCATGATCGAGTTTGAGCAATCATTCCTAAAGCCAGGCAAAATAAATACAGCAACAGGGCCATGCTGGCACTCTTTGCATCTTTTATTTTTCCTTTTGGAACCCTCCACCCACCTCTTCCTGACACACACACACACACACACGTTTGAATAACATCTATGCTGTCTAATTCTTGCTGACCCTACTTCCATATGATCAAACATGACCCCTTGTACCAAATGCAACTGCTATCAGAGGCTAAAAGACTGGAAAACTAATGAGAGACCACCCACCCACTCAAAGACTTCAAATAAGTCCTCTCTATGTGCCCCCATCTATCATCATACTACATGATTTTTGTGAATATCACCTTTCCTTGCTGCTCTTTTTGCCTTGGCTTGTTAGTAGCACAAATGTAGATGAACTCAGAAGTTGTTAGTATGCACATTGATTCTGTGTCATTCTTGGACTCTGATCAAGGATTAATTTCAAAGGGTTATTTTGATCTAAATGTAAATGATGTAATAGACGTCATTTACAGATTTTCATGAGAATGAGGTCACCGTCACAGCACATCTTGAACTCCACTCAAAAATGTCTCGCCAGGCACACATCATCAGTTACCAGATATGATGTCACCAGCAATGCCCTTATTTGGGTAGAACAAATGCATGTCAACACATGCATCATCTCTTTGAAAATCTACGTCTTTATTATTAGTCTTAAGATGCCTGACATTTAAGAGTGACCACAATAAAGAAAAAGACAAAGAAAAGAAGTGCTATTCACAGTGGTTTCAACGAATTCTGAAAAACTTGTATACCGTTTTCAAGAAAAGCTTCACATAGATCACTTTAAAATTGTCATCTGGTATAACCAAGTCAATATAGGTCTACTCAAGTGAATGTACCTGATCATTATTTTCTTGCCTTGCATGAAAAGGTTAAATTATGTATTATTTTGAGAGACGTATGGATATTGACAGTCACGAAGGACTGTGGGGATCATCTCTATATATTATATTATATTATATAATATATTATATCACATGTTGGTCACACTATGACTTTAATTTGATGGGTACATATTTTCAGATATTAATAAGCAGTGAAGCAGTTTTGTAATATTTTTGTTGTTTGTATTTTTCTAAAAATAAGTAATAAAAGATTATTATACCAAAATTATAAAAACTTTACGAAACTACCAATTATTTTAAAGATTTTTTTTACATTATCAGGACAATTGTTTCACCCTGATACTTTTGGCCCATAAAATAATTCATTTTAATTTAGAAATGAATGTTCATCATCATAGATTGTGTTTAAGCCACTGTATGTATGAATTACATATATTTTTTAATTCATTTATTTTTTTAAATAGATAATGGGACAAAAATATAAGTATCATGTAACTCTAAGACGAAAAAAAAAAGAATATTGCATAAAAAGAAAGAACACAAGTAACTTCAATTCCGTTTTTGGACAGTATAGGAAGCTCAGTAGTAGCTTCTCATTTGTAATTCAAGCGGATTTATTCCCATTAGCTACAAACCCTAGTAACTCCAGAGATTACTCCATTTAAAGTTCAGAACAGAAGGTCCATTCTGAATAGATCCGCTGTGTGTGGAGAACGGCCAAGGGGATGGACCTTCAAAGCGGCCCGCATAACCCTCAATCCCCCTGCTCATTACAATTAGATGAGTTTCGCCGTGCATGGTTGCAATTTTAATAATCTTATTTTACTTTGGGAAAATAAAACAGATAGACATCGGAAAGAAAAACAGCCCCATGTCACAAATATTTAAACTGCTTTGCTGCTCAGCAGATAATGGTTTCCAAATGTTTAATATTAGATGCAATCACACTGAAGAAAAGGTACAGCTTTTCTTTGAAAACTGAGATGCTTGACTGTAGAGAGAAAAAAAACATCTTAGCTTGGACAAAATTATTATTTTGCTTCATGAATCTTCACAGCTTTTCTATGCAATTGCATGCTCACAGAAATGTGTTTGATATCTTAACATTAGTTTCCATTCCTTCATAATTAATTCCACCAAAAAGCTCTCATGAAAGCAGCAGGGACAGCCCTCCCTCCCTCCTCCATCCCCACCAATCAGCATCTCCTCCCAGCATGTGAGCTCATATTAGAGTCTGCAGGAGTGTGACTTTAACTGGGCTTTGATCACAGCCTGCCGTTTGTGTGTCAGAGAGCCGACGTCACCGGAGGAAATGAGGGATGAACTCTGGGTCTGGAGAGTCAACCCAGCCCATCACTTCAAAAGAGGAATGTCTTTCTTTTCTTGTCCGCCACTGATATAACATAAATGAACAGAAACAGGTCAGGATGCAAGACCTCTGGCTTGTAAAATTGCTACCATTCTCTGTCTGGTCTTCACAGACCTAAAAGAGCAGCACGTTGGTCAAATTGTTTTTTTTATACAACCTCTTTATTAGATGTCACTACATGAAAGGCTGTTTGATTTTTGTATTTAATTTTTTTTTTTTACAGTTTATATTGTTATTTTAATCAAAGAAGAATGCAGCTATTCTAGATTTCAGGACAACAGTCTGCTGCCCTTTTATAATAAACACTCTGGGAAAATATAGATTTGTTTATCATGTAGGTATTGTTCATACTTATTTATATTATTATCAATGGTATTAAAATATTATATATTTATTTATATCATTAATACATTATCATTAATATGAAACAAAATATATTCCTATTAATATTTATTTGTTAGTAATTCATTCCAGTTTACTTTAATTACAAATGTATATCCTTTTTTTCTATTTACAACATTATAACATATACTTCATATACTAAAATATAGGCTACTATATTCTGTGGCCTTCTTTTATTTATTTACTATTAGGGATTGTTTTTAAATACAATAATTGACTTTAATTTGAGCTAATGCCACACAATTCCTAAACATTGTACAATGGAAAATAATTAATTTGTGTTAGGACAACATAATTTAATTTGTGTTGGAATTGTAAAATAACCTTAGGTTGTATTTCTATTTCCCAACAGGTTTCTCAAGGCTTTTGTAGACTGATGGAGTAGCTAAATGCTGAAATGAAGCGTTTTTGTGTGTTTTTGAGCAAGGGGGCAGTTGTTATTGTCCAATGTTATTAAAGACTGTGATTCTTATTGCTATAATTTTTGGGGCTACCACTGTGACAAAAAATAGGCATTTTGGGACTAAATAAATTAGAGTTTAAAAAAATAGTTTCCAAATATTGTACTAGTCAGACAGTCCTGTATTGAAACAGCAAGTGGCGCCAAACACACCGTTAAGCAGCACATGTCCTGAGACTTTGTGGAAACTTCTTGAGAGGACTGAAGAAAGTCAAACTCCAAACAGGAGCGAGAGAAGCAGAGAGCAGAGCAGAGGACCATCCGCCTACAACATTACACCTCTGCGGACATCCGAGGCTTAGTAAAGTCCAGAAGAGCTCTGCGTTCTCCAGCTATAACACTGACCTGTGAGAAGAGCTTTTGGTGGATGTAAGAGCGCTCAGAGGCAGAAGAAATGAGCAGAGGAACAGTGAAAGAGCCGCACGGATGCCAGCGCAACTTCACCCTGATCATCGTCATGCTCGTAGTCAACTGCGGTAGGCGATTAAACTCATGCGTTTGCACGTTACTTTGTTCATAATCGACTTAAGTTACAGAATTACTTTTAATTAAACCGAGCCTCATCTGTCGAGTTCACAGGAAACACTGAGCAGTCGAAAATATTTCTGATATTATTATTAGAAATAATTTGAGGAAACATGTCTCAAATTACAGCACAATGCCAACGTATAACATAAATGTGCAATATTCAATATAAGTAAATGAAATGTTTATTTGTATGTATTTGTCTATGTGCTGTAATGTGCACACTGTTATGTAAAGTGACATTTTTGTAAATGTCATGATGTTGAACAACTAGTTAGAGGTGTCATTTCATTCAGTAGTCCTCAGGGTTTTTTTGTTTACCTATTGACTCATGTTGCCAAAGGGCTATCTAAACAGTTTTTGTGTCATTGGAATGACAATAGAGATCTTAAAGTGCACTGATTTGAGAGAGTAACAGTCTTAAGCTCTCAGTTGGAGTCTCTTTGTACGGTCTGAGCTGCTTCATTTGCCTTAGAATAGCACTTTGACATAAGATAGCATCCAATTATACTGAGCAAAGAGCTTAAAAAGGTACATTAACTTCTATGAGCTTTTCATTATTTCCTAGTTTACAAGGATGAGACATATACCAAAGACCAGCTTGAATGTAGTTGTACACTTTTGAGCAACTCTTTATTTAGAGTGTTTATGTTACATGAGTGGATGTTACTATTATTGATTACTGCAATAGTTAAAACAATAACAGTAATTACAGACCGTTTGCAAAATAATTAAGAGCAATTATCAGTGTACCTGTAAATACACTGCAACATGGACACTATAAAATAGGCTAATCAGGTTTAGTTTTAGGTCATATTATAATAATGATAATAAATTATTTTTAATATTAATGAGCATACAGCATATATACATTTACATTACAAGATATTTCTTTTTAAATAAGCAAACTAACAGTTAAGTGTGTGAAACGCTAATCAGATTTCAACCCAAGCATAAATTACTAAAACTAAAAATATTTCAGTTGAATTGTCAGGTTAAGTTACATTATATTACAGATCGGCAGGTTTGACAAATTTTACTGACAAAGCAACAACCTGCTAGCAAATCAAGTAACATTTTGTACTCTGACTTCAATGTTAGTCCATGACATGCAAAGCTTTCTGCATTGAGTTGTCCGAGGGGCATTTTAACAATTGCTCCTCATTTATAACTTAAAGCACTGACTAAGACCATTGGTGCTGTGGTTTGGATGGATTTCTTTCCAGATTCCCACTTTGTTCGTTGTGTGCCGGGATGTCTGTAATTTAGGATGGGAGACATGGACTCCATTTTATGTTTTGGCTTTGAGTTAATTTGACCTTTTATCTGATGGATGAGCGTTTTGTCAATATGTGGCTCACTTCACCTTGTCGATATAAATGCAATAGTGTTTTCCCATCTGTTCTAGATAGTATCCCGGGATATTTTGTCACAAAATTTAAACCTTTTCAGATGGAGTTTTATAGACACTACGCTACATATATCTAGCTATGTCATATTTTTGAGAGCGGTGGGCAAAATAGAAACAGATGGCTTCCGTGATCCAGTCTTTGGTTTTAATAATAGTTGGTAGATTATAAATCACTGGGGTGGAACTCTATCAGTGCATTATACTGCCAGACTGGATGTTGACACAAAAGCCATTTTGCCTCCAAGAAAAGCCTACATTTGATTTGTCGTAGTAAAAATTCATTGGTTTAATCTGGTCTTCAAGTGTACAGTACAGTTACTCAAGCATCAAGGCTCCCATCTTTAAAAAAAAACCTTCATAGATGTTGAAGGAATGCCCATTCAACCACATGTTCTAACTTTGAAAGCCACGCAACTCTTGTGAACCGTTTGCTTTTTGTTGGTATGACTTTATAAATCTGTTTAATGTCAGATGCTTGTGTGTATTATATCACAAGTTGTAATTTTTTTCTGCTCTTTCTGCAGAGTTATAAATCTTTATATCTGAGGTGTCAAACACAAGAAGTTACTGTGCATTTTATCTTTTATTACTAAATACTGAAAGTTGGCTGGATTAAAAAACTTGGCTTGTCTTGTTTAATAAACAGAATGTGGGAAGATTTACATACTAGCCTACCAGCAGTTTTAGCACTTTGATTAATTGCTCTCTATTACCCTATCTTTTGTGTAAGTCTTCTGTCAGAGCTGGATGTTTAGGTCTTGGATATGAGCTTAGAGAATGATCTGTGTATTTTCACTTGTCTTTAGTGATGGTGTGATTCAAGCTCTTAGTCCGTGTCTCTCTGTTTAGGTTTGTTTGTGGTGGAGTAACTGGCAGAGTTTATAGCCATTCAATTTCATTATCCAGCTTCAGTGACATCAGAGTGATGTAGAACATCATTATAAACTCACAAACTGGTGTTTTTGCAACCTGTTTTTTTTTTTTACGTTGTTGCATTGTTTTTTTATTATTGTAAAAATCTTTCATGTTACATGCCTTTGTATTTTATTTTATTTTATTTTATTTTATTTCCACCAAAATGGATGGAAAATCAATATCTTGTAATCTTGATAAAAATATAGAGGGACATTAGAGTAATGTAGAATATTGTTATAGTCTAGGTGGCAGTTTGCTGTAGCCTATAACTCAATTATATGTATCTTTTCAATTGGACAAATATCGTATTTTTTCTCATTTATTTATTGTTTTCATGGTGTTTGTATGGCGTGTTTAAAAATTACAAATTCCATTTTATTATTTTTCATCATCCATTCCAAAGTGAATGCCAGCATCTGGAACAATATCATATTTATTTAATTTTGTCAGTATTTAGTAATCTTTATCTTTATATGGCTTGTGGCAGCATATTATATTGGGTTACATTCAGAGAAGTCTTACCCACCTTGTCCTTGGCCTTTTTGGCCTGAAAAATGCTAATGGTAACATACATCACAGGCCAAAAGGTCTGCAGTGAATATAATAGGAAATGAGCTGCCATTATTATCTAAGCGATCAGACGTCTGCCAACACTTATCAAATAATTAATTTCCCTTGCCTGCCCAATGTAATGTGCCAGGATACGCTACAGTTCACATTTTAGAGGGTATGATGAAACATGGCTTTTTAATTTTAGCTGTAAATGTGTTGGAAAGTAAAGCTCTAAAGCCTGTTTACATTGTATTAAGGTCTCAACTAACCCTCAATGCATAAAGACTGGCAAATTTCTTGCCGCCCACAGTTGGGCCTTTGTACCTGCCACACTCCCAGTGAGCTCATAAATACCTAACCTTTACTGCCTGTTCAGTCGGAGATTGATATTTGCTTTAAAATGAAAATATATGTGCAAGTATCAGTCATCTGGGAGATTTCTCTCTTTTCCTTCACACAGTGCTGGTCTTGACAGCGTCAGGTTTCTATCTCTGAGGAGAGCTTTGTACATTCATAATTCGGTCTCGCTGTCAGTCTTGGAACATTTTTTTCGCCTAAATAATGTGGCCTAGTAGTCAAAATCTGGCTCTGAAATTGCAGTAGTGCATTGAGTGATAGAAGTGGATGTTACTAAGCTTGGCTTACTTTGAAAAACATCGTTTAGGTGTTGAAAATGCTGCTATAATCATGCACCCACATACTCATTGCTGATTAAGCCATTTGTAAAGGATTCTTTGGCAGTCGCTTGAGGTTTCAGTCTAATCTGGTTTTTGTTCGTTTATGCATGTTTTTTTTCAAATGCTGGTTCTTTGCTACACTGTACCTTGACTTGAACACTGAGGAACAGTTGACAGTTTTCACAAAGTGTGATAGACAGCTCAGCCCTGGCATGAGTTCTGATGTTTACCCATGCTGTTCCAAATGGAACGAGAAAGGCATAAAGGAATTAAAATTTGACACTTTGGGGCTCCAAAATGTCCCACTCTCACTTCAGCCTCACATCACAGTATGGAACATTTCTTAAAATTGCTGTTTTCTTTAGGTTATTTTCTTTTATTATTTGAATGTTTCAATTAAAATCCAACTGGGTCCCTTTAAATTGGCGGTCTTGTATTTGGCCTTATATTTGCAATTGCAGTTGTTTTTTGGAAGTTAAAATAAGCCGTTTGTGTCTTCAGAGAACTCTATTGACACCAGCTGGCCATCGGGATTTCTTTGGGCAGAGGTGATCATGATGATCTGTAGAACCCGGACATGATGGCAGGTGTTTGCTTGTATTTAGTATTTATATGCAGAAATTATTTTACACAAGTGTTTTGTCTGACCCACACAGACTGTGGATTTTTGACTTTGCTGAAATGATTGAATGCTTCTGGCACTGTTAGTGGCCCAAGTGGGAGAAGTGTCAGGCTAACTACATTTTCAGTTCATGCAATGTGTACATGTGTGTTTATGTGTGTATGCACACGCTGGGAGTGTTAAAACTGTGCAATCCACATATCAGGAAATTACATTTTATGGGTGTTAGACACTACACAATGTTAGCATAACATGTCCCTATTGCAGCATTCAGTTTATTGGCTGAGTTTTAATTTTGGATTTATTTGTAATATTCAAACATGCTTAAATCTTTTGGCATTTTTCCTGTAATCAAATTAAATTAATTGGCCTGCTCTTTAGGAGATCCAGTAAGCTTTTTAAGTATGTTTTGATTGCTTTTGATTCCTTGTTTTTGGTAATTACTGTAAGTAGCTAAAAAACATATATCCTGTAGATAAAAAATGTTCAAGACTGTGATGATTAGCTCTGTTAAAGTGATTTATGTTTAACAAGCTGACTTCAGCCACAATAATGCTCCACATGTGAAATAAAAAGAATCAGAAAGTCTTCGCTGTCTTGTTTTGAGAGTCCCACTCTTTTCATAAACCTCTTTTTTTAGGAAAGATTGTGTTAAAATAATATTATGCGCTGACAGCAACTCTTGAGCATTTTGAATTGTTGTGTTGTAGTTGAGGATTAGGATACCCGGAGTGAAGCCTCTCAGCTTTTATGGACATTTACCCACAAGCTGCA